TGTGAAGAATTCAGATCTTGCTTACTCCCTCATTCTCCTACCCGCAAGGTCACTCACCGAAGGGGCAGGCACCGTGGAAGGCTGGAGCCTTGCACACCTTAAGTAGGCCCCACCCTTGGCTCCTCCGCGGGGCCCAGTGCTGGCACCGAGGTCCGCACCGCTGTAGAGACGCACGCACCACCAAGGAACTAGAGGTCCTCACCCGGGACTCTATCCCAGGCATACACTTTGGCGTCTTACGCAAAGCACCCCACACCTTCGCCCTGCGGCCCAAGCCCCGAACTGCGCCCTGGCTGGTGCTTGCCAGCTGAAGCACGTTCTCTACATGGGCCTTAAACTCATTGCTTTATCTCCTTTACTTAAAGTGTCAGTGAAGAGTCATTTCCTCCGTTTTGACCCTGTTTCCCTGTTGGGGGTGAAAGGTGGGCAGTGGAGTGGTGTCAGGATTAAAACCGTGGAGTTTATGCAAATAAGCCATAAACTGGCAGATTAATTCGTGTGAACAGTTCTCCCTAATACAAAAGAAGTAAGTATCCTGGGGGACTGAGCGGGCTTTTCCAGTCTCATTTCACCAGTGTAGCTCGGACGGGCGCGCGCGGGAGAAGGCGAGCTCCTGACGCATGTGACGTTAGCGCGGAGCGCTGCGCTGCCCGCGTGTTTGGGGGTAGGCCTGCTTTGTGTGCCCACCCGCGAGCGCTGCAACTTCCTTAGGCCTCTGGAGCGTCGCTGCTGCAAGGCTCAGGCCCGCGAGCTCTAGAAGGGAAATCCCTCCGCAGAAGGTTTGAATTATTTCGCTCCGCGGGAGACCCGGCCTCGGCCGCACTGGGCTGTGGATTTGGGCGGGAAAGGCCTAAACGGATCTGGGAAAGCCGGGTGGAGCGGAGCTGGGGTCTGAGCGCAGATGGCGCCGCCGGTGCCTGAAATACACTTCCAAGGCCTCAGCCGGAGCAGCTGTTGCGGGCGATCCAGGCTGGAAAGTTTTCTCCATTGCTGCTTGAGAGGCGGGGGCAGGCAGGCCCGAGAGCCAGGCTCCTCGGAGACCCTCCCCAGCTGGCGGCTGAGTCCTGGCTGCTTCTCCGAAAGAGAGGGAGTGATGACCCGGGTGTAATAATTAGGGCACCTCACAGGCCTGCTTTTCGGGCCTCGAGGTTTCTCAGGACCACCATGCTCGGTGGAAAATTTTGAAATGCATATTGTGTGTCCCCTGATGTGTGAGTGCCTACGTTGCGCAGGCCGGGCTGGTCCCCCGCTGCTGCAGGTTGGCGCCCCAGGCTGTGGGAGCTCCACGCCAACTAAAACCAGCTCTGTCCCGACTCAGAAAGAAAAACGGGCTGTGAAAAAGCAAAAGGCCACGTCTTTGAATAAAAAATAAACATTAAAATCTCACCTTTGGGTTGTCTTAGGATCCCGAGATTTTTGAAACTTGACTGGGGAGGGCTGAAAATGGGCGCACCAGTCAGAGAGAAGGGATGGTGAGAATGATAAATACAGTTGCTCTGTGCGGGTGTCCTGTGTACGTGTGCATGTTTGTTTAATCCTTCTTCAGTGCCAAGGCGATTTTGGTTTTGTTGTCGTTTTGTTCTGTTTCTGACCTTTTATCCGCGGCCTAGGGTGGATGAGCCACTCAGCGGGTCTGGCGCGCCGTGGGTTCTAATCAGAAAAAGATTCTAAACAATCGTGAGGCCTAGCCCTGCAGAAACGTGGCCCTGGGCACAACTGAGTCGCCTGTGCCTCCTCTCTCACATCCACTAGCATACACACACCTTTAAATGTGGCCCACTGGCTGTTTGTTAGAGCGCTATATTCAAGAAAAAAAAATCAAGAAAGGCCTGCAGGGGACTCAGAGCCCGGGCCTTGCCTTCTGCTACCACCCAGGCTCAGAGTCCCTGGCTCTGCCTCCTCCCGGGACTGCTGCCGAGTCTCCACGCTACTGAGCTCTTTTTCTTAAATGTTTTCTCATTCTACCTCCGGTTCGTAAGAAAGCCTTGGCCACTGCGGAGGCTCTAGTTTGGAGATCCCTTCAGCCTACGACGTGGCCAGGCCCCACCCGCGGAGCCTGGGTCCGCAGAAGGCCCGCGAGTGCTCTTTGCCTGCGACTCCTTCCGGACCTTTGCCCTACAAACGTATTTCGTCTTCTCTAATCCAGAAGCATATCTCTAATTTTTTTAATGCGATAAAGGTGGAGGTCAAGTGAACTCTCTGCTAGGTACAGTCTATGTTGGAGGTCAAGTGAACTCTCAGCTAGGTACAGGTCTATGTTAGAGCCTCATCCTACACCTATCCTGCGGATGGGAGAGAACAGCATTCTGGACACCAGCTCCTGGCGTTCATATCCCTGGACTGATCTCTCCTTGCCCCAACCCCTCACTTTTCTCTCCTGATTTACGGCTGAGAAGATGGAAAAAGTAAACTTCGATTTGGGTCTCTGATTATGAGCCCCGGTGTTGGTCCTTTCAAAACATGCGACTCAGACCGGCCCCTGGAGATCTGACCCCTTCCTCAGAGAAAAGTACCCGCGGACAGGGCTCTGCCATGCGCAGTAGTTAAATAACTTCTGCTTTTCCTACTGTCGGGAAAATAGAATTCCAAATCGTGAGTTGTCATAAGGGTGGAAAGAACTTCCACTCAAGTGTGTGAAGGCCCAAGCGAGATTCTGACAACAAATAAATGCAGTGAGGAAATAGGGCCCTGCCAGAGATGGGAAACACACATAAGCTACACATTCCTTTCTGAATTGCCCACATAGGGGTCTGCGTGGACAGGCACCCACATCCAAATACAGGGAAAGACTTGAGCGGATGAAATAAATCTCCTTTTAATTTTCTTTTCATCGACTAATAAAAATAATTCCCCAGCACTAAACTCAAATACCGTAACGGGCCACAAGAACACGGAGAATTCATAAAACTTTGTCTCCGCAAGTCATCCACTAATCGCGTTATTATTAGCCTCAGGAGCATGGAAATTGAACTGTCACTGCCGAAAGAGAAAATGTAAGCGACAGCTGTCCCTCCTTGGATCGGCCAGCTTTCCAGTCCCCAAGCTCCTGGGCCCACGGCCACCCCCATCCCGGCTTTCCGGCACGCCGACCCAGGTTTACTCCTCAGCCCTAGCTGGTCAGCAGAAGAACCTCCAGAACGGTTTTAGAAGTTGTAGCTGTAAAGTTTCTGAAACCGCTAAACCAAGCTGTGAGTGTGTGTGTGTGTGTGTGTGTGTGTGTGTGTGTGTGCGCGCGCGCGCGCAAGATTCTTCTGACAACAGCTGTTCCCTGGGGCTGTTTTGCACAGTTGAAATCTTGGCACTTAATACAAAACGTTAAGTTGTCCCCCGCCCTCCCAGGTTTCTCTTAAAATACAGACATCTACATCCGCCCCGTGTTTATATGTTGTGTGACTATAATCCGAGACAAAAAATCTCACCGTTCCCCTCAAAGACAGAGATATGGGCCCTGAAGAGTGACTCAGGGCACGGGGAAGGGGTCTAACACATTCGTCTTTCCATAAATGCCAACGAAATTGAAATACAATTATGCTCCCTCGTCGCTGGAGCAGGGGAAACACTACAATTTGCGTTCCAGAAAAGTTGGTGGGGGAAGGGCGAAGACCGACGTTGAAGGTTAAGTGGGAACTGGGCATTTACCCAGACTGGGGTATGGGGCCGGGAACTCCACTCAGTCCTCCGCAGCCATCAGAACCGAGACCCAGGCTCTCTCCAGTCCCGCTGTTGCCTGCGATCCTCATCAGTTCTAAACCCAAGGCCTGCAGCCCCTCAGCTGCGGGCACCATGAACCCAGAAGAGGAAGAAGGGATGCTAGCCAGGAGGGGTCCTCGCTAGAGGCTGGCGACGAAACTGCAAGGTTCAGGCCAGTTCCCGCAAATTGGTTCAGAAGAATTCAGAAAGGCTCAAGACATTTGCGCGAAGAAAAACAAACCCGCTCTGGAGCAAGGCAGGCTTCAGCGGCTAGGGCCTCCCTCCCCACCCTTGGGCTCGCCGCTGCCGCCCGGCGTCCCTCTCCGCCCGCCTCCAGCGGTCTGATCCTACGCACTCACCAGGGTGAGGCTCCAGGCCGTGTGCGGCCGCGTCCTCCGCGTCTCCGAGTGGGCCCGCGGGACTCAGCGCCTCCATGGACAAGTCCAGCCCTTTCTCCTCCCAGTCTCGCAGTTTCCGCTTTTTATTTGAGCCGATCAAGGCTTCAACGGAGAAGGCATGTGCTCGCGAGCTCAGGGCGACTGCAGATCTTCTCCTTTCACTCATCTTAGCCGCCCGCACCCCGGTTCCCGTTCGCCCCGCTACTGAGGGAGCAGCCCGCGCGCACCCTCACGCTCCGAGCGCCCGCCGGGCCGGCGGCGGCTCCGAGACGGCGGCTGCGGGGATCCTCTGCTCCTCTCCTGCGCCCTGCCCCCGCCCTTAGTCACCGGCCCAGACAGGCACCCCTAGATGCCCCAGCCGCTAGCAACGAGCGCCCAGAGCGCCTCCCGCTCGCTGCATGAGCGCCCGAGTCTTGCTTCCCACCCACCGGGGCAGGCGCTTACAGGCTGTGCAGGCTGGACTTCATCTTTTTTTATTCTGTCTCTCTCTCCCCTCCCTCTCCCTCTTCCTCTCTTGGTCTTCCCGTCCTTCCTCTGATCCAAACTTCTGGGAAACTTTTTTTTTCTAAATTCCTCCTTTCCCGAGGAGCTGGGGGCAGGCGGTGCGCTCCTGTCCGAGGGGCGACGGAGGGAGGGGGGAGGAAGGGAAAGGCAGAGGGGAAAAAAAGCCGGCCCCCGACCAATGGCGAGGAGGGAACAGGAGAAACCCTGAACGCGCGGGCCAATGAGAGGTGGGGAGAGACTGAGGCTCGGGCCAAGGCTCGGCTCGGGTCTTCCCCGGCTTGGTCCTGGGCCGACTTTAACCCCTGGCTTCCCGGTCTCCCGTGGGCTCCTCGTTGGCGCAGGGAGAGGAGCTGAAAGTCGAAGTCTGACCTGTGCCATTACAAACTCCTTCAAGTCCCAAATCCTTACCTTTTCCTCCCAAATCTGCTGAGTCTCAAAGAAGCTGCAAGCCAAGAGTCATTTAATTACAGATCTGGAATTTGGGGGCTGCGACCAAATGTCAACCTGTCCAAAAACAGGAACGACTCATAATCTCCGCGCCTGCCCCCAGATGCTTTTGGATCTGCTGGTTCCGTCCGGATTTCACCACACGGGTTCTTATTTTCCTGTTGAACGATTTCTAAGCAGCTCTAGTTAAAGCAAAACGAAAGAAACAAAAAAGCCCCGTCACTATCCAGGATCTTGTAACTGAAAAATCGAAAGATCGCTTCCTCCTTCCAACTCTACCTGGGAGTGAAGGAGACCTAGGCGCCCTCAAAACAGGAGGCCGGCGGTGGGTCGCGGATCTTACCGCGCGCTCCGCAGGCGATGCCGACTGGGCCCGCTCGCAGCAAATGATCGCCTCCCTTCTGCGTGGATGCTGAGCAGAGCCTCGCCTGCTTGGGGCGCTTGTTCTGGAAAACCCACGGAGAGGGGCTGGGCTAGGGCAGCCAGGAACTTTGACAGCGGAAAGGGAGCTTTTTAAAATTCCCATCAAATCCATCACCTCGCAAGCCCAGCTCTCCCCACCCGCTGATCCTCCCTCTGCTCTTCAAAAAAAAAAAAATTCAGGACAGTGCGGTCGTCAGGGATTTCTAAGGAACTTAAAATCCAATACTGATGGCCATTCTCTTTTCCTGCATCCCCTCGAGGTTATACTACTGGTCGCGGGCCGCAAGAGACTCCAAGCGGAGTCCAGCTCAGAGCCAGTTCAGAGGGGCCGAAAAGTTAATCTTGCCAAGCTGGAAAAAGGTCTCGGATTTCGCAGACTACAGCCTCGCCACAGCCTGGTCTTTAGTCCCTGGTTGAGACGCTTGCATTCCCGCGCAAAGAGGCAGCAAACAGCCAGCTCGGTGCGAGCGACAGACTAAGAGGCCCAGCAAACAAGTCTCGCGAACAGCCGGGTCCTGAGCCCTCAAGCCTTGGGCAGAGGGGTCCAAGGCTTTTCATAGACACCCCAAGAATGAGTAACCATCAGCCCTCCCACCGCGAGGCAAGAAGGGAGGGCCTGTCGGGCCTCTGAAACTCTGCATTTCCCTCCCAATCGCGGAAGGCAGGCCTGGATATCAAGTCCTTGCTCTTATAGTTGAAAGTGCTCTGGCGCTGGAGGCAACGACCAAATGTCATGAATGTACTTTGGGCCTCTTTGGAGGCAAGGGGAAAAGGTCACTTTTGACCTCCCTCAATTCAGCTCGGCCCTGAGGAGAGGAAGCTGGCCGCACAGCAAATGCAGAAAGAAAAATGGAAAAGCCACCAGATGAGTGTGATTCAACCAAGCTCAGCCTCCCAGGTCTTCCAGGAGCCTGTGTCGCAGTCTTAGGGGTCTTCCAGAAGCCCTCCAAGATCCCTTGGATCTAGAAGCCAAGTAGTGAGCCCTTCAGCTTCTCTCTGCAGTGCTGCAGGGCAAACTGCCAGCCAGGGCAGCAAGTCATAGGGCCTCTCACCTCAGTCGCCCCTGTGTTTCTTCCAGGAGCCTTGCAGAAAGTGACTGTGTATTCACCACCACCCCACCTTCAGCAAAGGAGTTGGAGACAAAGCAGGCCAGGATAGGGCAGGTACCTTCACCAGTGGCTGGGATCTGTCCTTCAGCTCCAGATGCTGGTGTCACCACCTGGGGCCGGAGCCTGCCAGAACCAGGCCTAGTGGGTAGGGATGGAAGTGGCCTGTATTTTTACTCAGTGCTGTCCTCTCCCACCTCCCAGTGCCTGCACCTCCTTTTTTCTTCTGGCAGCTGCTTGCCTTGGCTTTCCCTGCTAGATCTGGTTTGGATTGAGATGTAGATACATCGCAGGCCCTATACCCTCCGGAGGCCATGAAATTTCTCAAGAAGAGGAATTTTTGTCACCCAGGCACTTAGATGTAGGTCCAGAAGGCCTGCACCATGTAGGTATCTACACACACATCCCCAAGAGCACATAGAGAAGTGAGCAATGCCTTCGGTGGCATGCAGCTCACCCCAAAATACACTTAATTCTGCCCAAATTATCTCTTCTAGCCCAGCCCCTCTCCGTGGGTTTTCCAGAACAAGCGCCCCAAGCAGGCGAGGCTCTGCTCAGCATCCACGCAGAAGGGAGATCATTTGCTGCGATCAATTAAGTGAACAAAATACACTTAAGTGAGTTCTCAGAGGAGCTCTTACATCCTTCGTTCAGGCTGCACATAGGTTGCTCCCACCCCCATCCCACATACACACATATCCTGGAAGTGTATGTTTGGCCATTAAAACAAATCAGACAGTAAGTAATGAAGCCAGGCTGGTTTGGGACAGTGCTGAAAACAGTCATTTTCCTCTAGGTAAATGGGAGGGGCAGGGAGATTTCTTTTTGTGACTATAGGAATCAGTCATTTTTTCAGGGGCATGCACTCCCTGGTATGTGACCATGTACTGATGGGAAGAAAGTCTGGAAAAAGATTAAGCAGGATGGTTTAATTTCTGTGACTTACACATATAATTGTATGTGATTGAGAGAAGAAAAAAGAGAATTAGGGCTATTAAATATAAGAATCTGGGAACATGCTATGCATTTTTTTTTCACTCATTACATAAAAAGGCCTTCAGATTTCCTTTTCTTATCCCAGTTTCTCTCTCCTTTAACCTTAAGGAATAAAAATGGGGCCCCTAATGTATGAGGCTAATTACTGAAGCAATCCCCAGTTTTCCCAGGCTTGGGTTCCAGCCTGAAATAGTTTAGGTTTATTTGAAGTTGAGGATGACTGACATGGACCAAGCTAAAGGTCCCACCCTCTGTCCACCCCACCCCTACCCCTTTCCCCTACCCTGTCCCTGCAGGGCCCCAAAGAAGAAGAGATGGTTGCTAAGCACCTGAGAAGTCAGAAGAGATCTAGGGGTGGGATAGAGGCACCAAGAGGAACTCATTCACCCCCTGCAGGGACATGTGTGAAGTGAGTGCCCACTCCTAGCTTTGAGAGGAGGTAAACCAAAAAGAGGACAGCAGCATAGTCACAGCTCATCTAAAACTGAAGGTGTCCATATATTATGATTTTTCACAGAGTTCTGCAGCATAGAGACAAAAGTCCTAGAAATGGAACCCCTTACAGCCTCCATATACCTGTGTTTTCCTTCTATTTCTCCACACTAAATACCACCCTAAATACTACCACTGCCAATGCTTCATTCACCAGAGGCGGTAATTTTGCAGTTTTCAGTGAGTAATCGAAAACCAACTTAAAAATAGTTGGCCAGCAGGTCATGTTTAAACTGCCCCTATACACATGGGCAGGACACTCTTTGAGGGAGGGGTGGCAAAGATATTACAATGAATCGGGCCTGTCCAAGCAGGTAATAAAACATTATGAGGCCAGTACGGGGTGGGAGGAAATCACCGGGACTCCAAAGCAGGTCCAATTCAGTTTCAAACTGTGACCTTAGGCATGTCAATTAATGGCCTGTACCTCAGTTTCCCTGTTCGCAGAGCGGAGGGGTCCTAAATAGTTTACAACTAAACAAAACAAGCAAGATAATAAGAGGCAGGACAAACCTGAGGTTTTATTATTTGGTGTGACCGAATCTTCCGGGAATGTAAGGCCAAGGTACCCACTTTTCACTTCTTTTCCCAAATTGGTGCCCAGTCATGGAGTGGCATGACTGGCCTGGAGCCCTCCGGTGGGCGTGGGGGGGAGGGAGCTGGTTTCTAGCAATGCCCGCCCAAGGCCAGTGGGCGGAGACAGCGAGGGTCCACTCCCCCAGGCTGCATCTGGCATCTGAAGTCGCCCGTGACCGTTCAGGTTGCCGGGAGCTGCGGGACGGTCCTGTGTCGTTGACTATTCAACCACTCCCTCACACTATTTAAAAATAAAAGTCCGTGGGGGCGAATCGTCTTTAATGATGTTTTTTTGTTTTCACGAAATAAAATCTTTTGTTTTTATTTTAAACTAGCAGCGTGCCCACTTCTTGGTCCTTCCAGATGTTTGCAATAAAATCGCAAGTTTTGCCTTTGGGATTGGAAATAAAATTTAACGGCCTTCACCCTGTAATTATTCTCTTAGCTCGCCCTTCATAAATTTACCTGCTTTCTATCGGCGTTGGGGTAGGGGGCGAGCGAAAGGAGAGAAAGCCCCGATTTTATATTTGTTGACTATAAAAAAAGCGCCACCCGGTTTCCTCGCCTTCGGCGGCCACGGCGTAGCCGGGAGAGCCTGGCCCGGCGGGCAGCAACATTGCGCTATTGTTCGCTGACTGCAGTCTGCGCCGGAGGCGAACCCCTCCACAAAGGGGGCCTTGTGCCGCCCTGCCCGGAGCGGCAGCGCCCAGGAGGTGAGGAAATCCTGTGCCCCTAGGTTTAGCTCCTCTTTCCCTTGGGCGTATCGCGCAACCGGGACAGTTGAACCTTCGCCTTCAGTTTGCACCAGCCGTGCAGGACGCCAGCTCCTGACCTGCCAGCCCGAGTCTTCGCTGGAAACGAAACCTCCAGCCTGCGTGGAGCCCACTCAATGTGAAGGAGGAGCCTGCCTCTGGATACCAAGGTGCTACGGAAAGGCCGGCTGGGGGCGCGAGACAAGGGCCTAGCCCTTTCCTTCTTGCATGGGCTGGGCTGGAAGGTACATTCTGGCACCCCTCAGGAGCTCAAGGTTGCTTGGCAAACCTAAACAACCCAACCCAAAATCAGAGGATTTGGAAGCCACCAGCGTGCACCCTAAAATAAATGTGGGCACATCACTACTATATACTTGTATAGGAAGCTGATACTGTACAAGATGTATTTTGCATGACTACACAAAACCATTATTCTATCTATCCAGCAAGATAAACGTTCATGTATATACACTGTGTACAGCTACATGTTTGTACCCACATGCTTTTCTAGGACCAACCATTCATGCAGAAACAACGCATGCTTGGGTACACAGCGTCACACACAGGGCCATATGGGGAAACAGCCTAGCTACACAGCTGGCCCCAAAGTCTGCAGAAATCTACAGGCATTCTGCTTGCTGCATTTCTATTCACAACACAGCTCCCTCCTGTGTTGTGCTTCATCTATGAAGCTGTACCTCTGGATTCTCTCCTTCAGCTGCACAAAGCTACCTGATCTCATAGATGACAAAAGAAGGGAAAAATGATGAACACCACCTTTGAAGTCTCACCCCTTGGGAATGCCACCCAATGCCTGGGAGAGATCAGGATGTTCCCCAAAGCCCAGGAGACCTAGCAGGGACTAGAAGACTGAGCAGAGAGAAGTGGTGGCACCAAGCAGGAGCAGCAGGGTTTTGTCTTGTTTTGTTTTATTGACATGCAGCTCCTTTCACCATCCAGCCAGTGGGCCTTGGGTCAGAAAGCCACACCGTAGGAGCCAGACACTTTCTAGGCAGAGAATTCTTTCCAGTTCTCTCTGACCTTTGGACTCCCAGCTCTTCCAGCTCTAAATGTGACTACACCTGCCCCTTTCTGCTGGGGTTGCAGGTGCTTGGCTAAGAAGGTTAAGCATTCCCTTTGTTTTTTTCCCTGAGAGGAAGAGTTATCTAAAACTTAGAGGGGTAAAAAAGGGGAGAAGCACCAGATTCCCTAGGACCTACGGCAGGGGCTCGTGGTGTGACCAGGTGGGGGGCTGCTGAGGCTGGCAGTAGTGAGGCCAGACAGAGCACCTAGAGCCCTGAAATGGTCTGCCACAAGGACCAGCAGCTAAAGGTGAACAAAATTTGAGGCATTAGGGCCTTGATGTGATAGCTTTTTCACCAGAAGCACTTAAATTTCTCGTTACTAATAAAAATTGGCCATCCAAGAGCAAAATGTCTTCAGTAGAACTACACAAGCTAGCCAGGCCCTGAGCTGTCACTCGCAAACACAGACAAGTAGAATCTAACAGCCCCCTTACGGTCCATCTCCCCCTTGCCCTGCTGATGGAAAAATTGTCCGTTATACATGGAGAGTCGAAAAACAGCTCTCTGATTATGCAGCTCTGATGAGGCTGGGGAGTTGATCCTCCTCGAGTGTGTCTCGAGGTCAGGGTAGCTGGAGTGGCCAGACAGGTGCTTGCCTCTAACACTCAGACTGGGAAAGGAAGGAAGGAGCTGGCTGGGGGCACAGGGTTGGGTTGTGTGAGCCAGATCATGGGAGGCTTCTTGTTCGCTTTGGTCCATAAATTATAGGCCACCTCTTTGGCCCTTCTTGGGTGAAACCAAATTAAAGGGGATGAAAAAAAATCTGGAACTTTGTGGTAATATGTATTGCTTCCTTGGTGATGCAGAAACTAGCTGGGTTAAGGAAAGTACCATCTTGGGGAGCCTGTTGTTGGACAAATGAGCCCTCAGAAGGTTTTTAAATATATTTAAAATACTGTTATATATATAATATATACCACATAATATGAAACCAATTATATATATATATTATATATATATGTAGTTGTTTTACAATTCCAACTGTCTTTCAGAACGAAGACAACTATATCTTTAGGTGGGTGTTTGTGGAGAGGCCACATTGCCAGTGTTCCAGAGTCTGCCAGTCAGAAGAGATGGGGGAGAGAGGCAGTTCCACACAGGAGACACTCAAACAGCAGAAAGAGACATTGCACTCTGGCCCACAGCCAAGCACCCCAGAGAGCCAGGGGTGAGGGAGTTAAAAAAATTATTTTTCCCGTAATCAGGAAAAAAATCACTTATCTTCACATACTTCCCAAGGATTTCACAGGACAGTCAACAAATCCAGGAAAATGATGGCATTCCCAGGGCAAAAAAATCAATGACTCAACATTCTCCTGATTCATAATGGTGTCTGCAGCACCAGAGGCCCAGGAGGTTTGTGGATTCTGTGGCACAAGAGCCAGGGGCACACCTGCCCCCAAAATTGCTCTCCTTGGCTGC